AGAAATTCTCTGGTTGAACTGCCTCTATATCACTTTATAATAAAGAAAAGAAAACTAAGGTCCAAAGACATTAAGTAATTTGAATCCAAGCTAATCAACCAAAAATATTTGGGCAGTGCTTTTCTCCATATTCAAAGGCTGAAATTAGAGAATTAATTTTTTTATACATTTGACAAGTTTTCTTCTATTTTAACAATTTACAAATTGTGATGATATTGTCATGTATGTTGTTAATACAGGTAACTCATACATGTATAGGACTAATCTATCAGGGTATTTTATTTATTTTTTAAAGACTTATTTATTTGAGAGAAAGAGAGCATGAGCAAGGGGGAGGGGGCAGAGGAAGAGGAAGAAGCAGACTCCCCACTGAGCAAGGAACCTGACACAGGGCTCCATCGCAGGACCCCAGGATCATGGCCTGAGCCAAAGGCAGACGCTTAACCGACTGAGCCACCCAGGTTGCCCCATCAACGTATTTTAGATAGAATAGGTTTTCATTCTGTCTGGTGATCCAATTGCTTAGTTTATAAAAATTATCTAATATCATTTATTATTTTCATATAATAATAAATAATTTGTATACATTTTATACATTAATACCTAATTTAAGAATTTAATATATGCATCCTTTATTAGTTATTTTTTTGAAATTAGTATTTAGAGACTGGTAAGATTAGGAAGAAGATTCAAGGCTTAGAAAAGAATGCTTTGACTAGATAATGTAGCAAAAGTGCTAGGATATAAAAGCAAGAACTATTTTTTTTTTTAAGATTTTATTTACTTTGTGTGTGAGAGACAGAGAGGGAGAATGCGCACGAATTGGGGAGGGGGAGCAGAGGGAGAAGCAGACTCCCTGCTGAGCAGGGAGCCCAATGCAGGACTCAGTCCCAGGACCCTGGGATCATGACCTGAGCTGAAGGCAGACGCTTAACCAACTGAGCCACCCAGGTGCCCGAGCAAGAACTATTCTTGATGGTGATTTAATTGTGGACTCTCAGGAACCAATGGGCCTAAACTATTCAGTACTATATTAATACATACTTTGCAATTCTACAATACAATTATATAAAGGAACTGTTGAGTAATAAACACCATTATTGACAGTGGACTAGTTACAGTCTTTTTTGATAAATGTCAAGATCTAAAAGGGGAAGAAATTGAGACTGATGGCCCGTGAGAAGACAGGTCAGCTATTTCAAGAAAGAAACACCTTTTTAGTTAAACTTGTAAGTATTCATATGCTATGGATGGTAATAGCTTTCAACAAAACCCTCCCAGAATTTACCCATCTTAAAATGTCATTTGGAGAATAAGACTGTGATTTCTCTCCCAGTAAGTAGCCACTCTAATATATGATTTATATAAAATAAATTGTAGGGGCGCCTGGGTGGCTCAGTCAGTTAAGCGTCTGCCTTCGGCTCAGGTCATGATCTCGGGGTCCTGGGATCGAGCCCCGCATCGGGCTCCCTGCTCAGCCGGGAGCCTACCTCTCCCTCTACCTCTGCCTCTCCCCCTGCTTGTGCTCTCTTTCACACTCTCTCTCTCTCTCAAATAAATAAAATCTTTAATAAATAAATAAATAAATAAATTGTAAAACCTAGATATTATATAATATAATGGTGTATTAAAATATACCCTGGTAAGGATATACATAGAAGGGTCAGATCTATTCAGTGGAAAATTGGCTGGAAAGAACTTTTAGGTTTTCTTTTAAAATCATTTTAGGGCAAGGTAGACCCTGACTGGGTATTAAAAATATTTTAGGTAATGAGAATGCATGGATGAATAAAACATGGCTCTGTCCTCAAGGAGCTTGAAATACATTAAGACAGATAAGTAAATAGACACACAACTACAGTTAGATATATAAAGTGCTATGATAGTGGTAAATGCAGTATTCTATGGAATAACATAAAAGGGGTACCTCATACAAAGTAAGGAAAGATCATTACTTTCCATGATATGAATCCTCAAGCACTTAGCACAGTACGGAGCATGTGGTAGGTATTCAAATATTTGATGAACTGGAACCTACTTGATTAAAAAAAATGAGATATCACCTCATAATTTTTGCTTAAAGCAATGTCTTTAAACTGTATATGCCAAAATGTTTTTCTTTATGAATACTTCTCATGTTGCTATAGTAATTTCAGTGACCATATAAATTAATCAGTATCTACAGCTAATTCTTAGATGTAACTGGTAGTAGACAATAGGTAAGATTTCCTATTTTAGCTTAGGAACAACTGTGTCGCAGTGCTGGACACATAGTAAATGTTCAAAAATAATAATTAGTTTTTTAAAGCTTCAGAGTTTATTCAATGATTTCTTGTCATTGTAAATGGCAAGATTTCATTCCTTTTTATGGCTGAATAATATTCCATTGTGTATATGTGTGTGTGTGTGTGTATGTATGTGTGTGTATATATATATACCACAACTTCTTTATCCATTCATCAGTCGATGGACATTTGGCCTCTTCCCATAATTTGGCTGTTGTAGATAATGCTACTATAAACATCGGAGTGCATGTATCCCTTTAAATCAGTACTTTTGTATCCTTTGGGTAAATACCTAGTAGTGCAATTGCTGGGTCATAGGGTAGTCCTATTTTTAACTTCTTGAGCATCCTCCATACTGTTTTCCAGAGTGGCTGCACCAGTTTGCTTTCCCACCAACAATGTAAGAGGGTTCCCCCCTTTCTCTGCATCCTCGCCAACATCTGTTGTTTCCTGTGTTGTTAATTTTAGCCATTCTTACAGGTGTGAGGTGATACCTCATCATAGTTTTGATTTGCATTTCCCGGATGATGAGTGGTGTTGAGCATCTTTTCATGTGTCTGTTAGTCATCTGTATTTCTTCTTTGGAAAAATGTCTATTCATATCTTCTGCCCATATTTTAACTGGATTATTTGTTTTTTGGATGTTGAGTTGTATAAGTTCTTTATATATTTTGGATACTAACCCTTTATCCCAAATGTCATTTACAAATATCTTCACCCGTTCCAAAGGTTGCCTTTAGTTTTGTTGATTGTTTCCTTCGCTGTGCAGAAGCTTTTTATCTTGATTAAGTCCCAGTAATTTATTTTTGCTTTTGTTTCCCTTGCCTCAGGAGATGTATCTAGTAAGAAGTTGCTATGGCCGATGTCAAAGAGGTTACTGCCTGTGTTCTCCTCTAGTATTTTTATGGTTTCAGGTCTCACATTTATTTATTTATTAAATATCGGCTTAGTTCTTGGTTTTAGAAGGACTGCCTGTAGCCATCAGTTTCAGTTTTTCTTGTCCATGATATCAGACATTCAGCCTTACAAGTGTGGACAACATCTGGAGTGAGGGGTTTTACAAGGAACACAGAGTAGCTGTTGCTTCATAGTTGGCACTGTCAGGTGTGATTATGGGGTCAAAGTTAGTCTGAACCCCAAACACTCCCAGCAGCTTGGAATGATGGCCTAGGGGGTGTTTTTGTGTGTGTGGGTGTGTGTGTGGGTGTGTTTGTTTTAGAAGATGAAAGCTTTCAGGAGCAGTTTTCTTTTTTTTCATTTTTTTAACATATAATGTATTATTTGTTTCAGGGGTACAGGTCTGTGATTCATCAGTCTTACACAATTCACAGCACTCACCATAGTACATACCCTCCCCAATGTCCATCACCCAGCCACCCCTTCCCTCCCACCCCCGTATACTCCAGCAACCCTCAGTTTGTTTCCTGAGATTGAGTCTCTTACAATTTGTCTCCCTCTCTGGTTTTGTCTTGTTTCATTTTTTCCTCTCTTCCCCTATGATCCTCTGCATTGTTTCTCAAATTCCACGTATCAGTGAGATCATATGATAATTGTCTTTCTTTCGCTTAGCATAATATTCAGGTCTCACATTTAGGTCTCTCATCCATTTTGAATTTATTTTTGTGTATGGTGTAAGAAAGTGGTCCAGTTTCATTCTTCTGCATGTTGCTGTCCAGTTTTCCCAACACCATTTGTTGAAGAGACTATCTTTTTTCCATTGGATATTCTTTCCTGCATTGTCAAAGATTAGTTGACCATATAGTTGTGGTTCTTATTCAGTAATTTGTCTAACCCCACCACCAAACTCTCTAAAGGAATTTCTTGTTCTTAATTATTAAGATTAATTGTAGTGAGAGAACATGAGAAGCATGAATCTTGTGCAACAACAAATACTATATTAACCAGTGGGAACCCTGAGTAAGTAAATGAAAGTCCTGTCTTTGGCAGATCTGAAGAAAAAATGGCTTATAAACCTTACATGGTATAGTAGGGATGCTTTACTGTGATTGGAGTTAGAACTAATGCATATGAAAAATTAGATGTCTGTACTAAATTCTGTGGTAGTGATGGTAAATACAACTTAATTCATTAATTGATTCAATAAATATTAGGCTTCAACTTTATGATGCACCCTACACTAGGCCAAGAGATAACAGATTTAAAAATATAGTCTGGGAATGAGGCAGGGAAACATAATCATGGCACAGTGTGATTCAATGCTCCAATAGAAATAAGTACAAAGTACTGTTGGTATATGAAAGAAGAACAGCTAATGGTGCTAGCAGAAAAAGAAAAAATTTGTATGGATTGGGTTAGTCATATAGGCTTAATTTTTTATTTTAAATAAACAGGCAGTGTGATATCATTTTACTATGACTGTGTCTTGTTACCTGGTATGTTTTTAAGGAACTTGTATAGTATATTTCTATTTTATGAAATGAGATTATAAACCCCCAAAGGCTTACTGATAAGTCATTTCATAGGTGAGCCTACCAGCAGCTTCCTACCTCTCGTTATACTACAGTACACCAATTATAAACTATATTCAAAGCCAGGTAGACCTAATTCACTGAACAAATAAGATATCTAGTCTACTATTTATTATATCTAACTAGTAGGAATAATTAATATGCTTTAAACATACAGGTGATAAAATTTCCCTTAAGTGTTAACTAGTTTTGGTCAATTTAACAGTCCTTTTTCTTTCTTATTAAGGGTCTACTGTATTTGCTGGTAACAGACCAGGGGTTTCTTACTGAAGAAAAAGTTGTTTGGGAAAGCCTACACAATGTGGATGGTGATGGAAATTTCTGTGACTCAGAATTTCATCTGCGGCCTCCTTCAGATCCTGAAACCGTATACAGAGGACAGCAAGACCAGATAGATCAGGTAAATTTGTCTTCTTCATATAGTTTAAAATGCTCTTGCTTTTGGGGCACCTGGGTGGCTCCGTCAGTTAAGTGTCTGACTTTGGCTCGGGTCATGATCTCAGGGTCCTGGGATCGAGCCCCGTGTGGAGTCTGCTTGACCCTCTGCCTCTCTCCCTGCTCTTGCTTGCTCTCTCAAATAAATCTTTTTAACAGAATAAAAAATAAAATGCTCATTCCTTTCAAATGTGAATTCAGTTATCTAAAACTTCTGAACTAAAGATTCATTGTGAGATATTCCTGACATTTCCTAAATCGGCAAGTGATCATTTACATGTTATACATTGATCATACACTTTGGTTCAGAAGGCCAGATTATATTGAACTGTGAAGGCCATGGTATAGTTTGAATTTTATTCTGAACTGTAATAGGAAA